GGCATTTGGGTGCTTAAGCTATGGAGCTGAATACCCATCCTGGTCCAGAACGTTACTCCTGCAGATGAAGCAAAGTAGAGTCTGCAGACAGCTGAGGCAGAGTGGAGGGCGAGAGGAGCCCTTGAACAAAGTATACACTTTTCCATGCCCTCCGTCCTGGCTAGAGCTCACAGGGCTAGGCCCAGTTGTCTGTTCACAAAAGCTCCCAACCACTGGCTGCCTGGAGCTAGGGGTGCAGAGGAACAAACACCATCAGTAAAGGCCAGCCTGCCTTAGCAGTGCTACAGGGAACCTGAAACCCAAGCTGCAGTGCTCAGCCCTGGAAAAAAGGTGCTGCTTCACAGAGCTTGACACAGGAAGTCAGCCCATAGGGAAGCAGACTGGTTGCCTGGGGCTAGTTGCTTAACCTCCCAGTGCTTCAGTTTTTCCACTGGCAATCCGGGCTCTACACTTGAAAGGGTATAGGATGGCAAGGATCCAATGAGAACACACATCAAACGCTATAAATAAGGACTAGAGAACTTGGCAGCTTCCAATGTCATTGTTACTGTCCCTGACCCATCTTCGCACAGAATGTGCTGCCTCTGTGGCTGCCAGCTAGCAGCCCAAAACAACCTTGTGTGTACTGTAAATGCCAAATTTAAGGCTCTTGTTGCACATGGGGAACTGAATCCAGAGGTTGCTTGGATAGCATGTGTCCATCCCAGATGTGTTAACTCCAGCCTGGGCTCCATCGCCCAGGGTGCGATCCAGAGACAGAGAATGCTGCCCTGGCATTAGAGGTCTGTGCACACAGACACATAAACCCCAAAGGATCCCCCAAAGGATCACTCTCAAAGCTTAAACTGATGGGCTGGGAACACAGCTTGATAAAGTGGTTTGATCTTTAGTACCACATAAAGTAGGTATGGTGGCTTACACTTGTAATCTAAGGCAGGAGGATCAGAAATTGAAGGTCGTCCTTGGCTACACAGGGAGCCTGAGGCCAGTCTGGGCAAGAAAGACTCTAGATAGATGATAGATAGATAGATAGATAGATAGATAGATAGACAGATAGACAGATAGATAGATAGATAGATAGATAGATAGATAAGAAGATAGATAGATGATAGAGAGATGATAGATGATAGATAGATGATTGACAGATGATAGATAGATAGATAGATATAGATAGATAGATAGACAGACAGACAGATGATAGATGATAGATAGATAGATAGATAGATAGATAGATAGATAGATAGATAGATAGACAGACAGACAGACAGATAGATAGATAGAACAGGACAGGACAGGACAGGACAGGACAGGATAAGTTAGACAGACAGGCAGATCAACTATTTCTGTGCTACTCAATTCTAGCCTGGGTTGCAGACCCTGACTAAATAAATAGATAGATTTACATAGTTAAATTATTTCTGTACCACCTTGTTCCATGGCCATCTCCAGCACCAAACTCTCCCTGCTTCTCCCCTAAGCAAGGTTTGGGTCTGTTCAGTAAGCCATATCCCTTCCTGAAGTATTTACATGTTGACAGAACACCCTGGCCCATGTCCACACCATCAGTCACTGTGGTGACAGTACACACAAAGAATCCCAGGTTACAGGTTGCTGAGGCTCACAACCAGAAATTGTCTCTTTTAGTCGCCTATATCTGGCCTCTGCTTCAGTTCCTGCCTTGAGTTCCTGCCCTGACGTCCCTCAGTATAAACTAAAATAAACCCTTTCTTTTCCAAAAATAAATAAATAAATAAAAAATGTGGGTAAAGTGAGGCTTAGCCTCCAAGCAAGGAAGAGAAAAGGAAAGTAAACACTAAGGTACTCTGGAGGAAATTCAAGAGGTCCAGCATGTCCCAACTGCCTGGCTCTGCCCCACTAAAGAGCCAAGTCCCCAGGGCTGCTGAATAGTGAAATCTTTGGCAGGTGTCAGGCAGGGGCAGACCCTCCACAATACCCAGGCTCCTCCCCATCCTTTCTACTCCAGTAACAGCATCCTCTTCAGCCCTCATCTCTGTCCTTGTGTCAGGCTGAGCCTCCACTCTGGGAGGGGAAGAGGCTTACCTGATTCCCTCACCTGTAAAATCAGACATCTCATTTGGAGATACCACAAAGTTGGATGGACTTCACTGAATTGCCCAGCATGAAGCCTGGTACTTGGGCAGGAGCTCCAATCTCAGGTCACTCCTGCCATTTCCTTACATATGAGATACCTCAGCACCCACACAAATACTACCCTAGTCTTCCTTGTGAAGCACACCCACTACTTGACATTGTGCCACCAGCTTGTTGCATGTCCTTGGGCAAATCTCTTCCTCCACAGACTTGGTTTCCCTAACTATAAAATGAGCCTGTTAGGTTGGGATGACCTTGCAGATCCTTTCCTACCCTGACCACTTGAATGTACCAGATTGTCCCAAAGTCAATCTTATAACCACCACTCCTTGGAGATCTGGGCAAGGCCTGCTGAATGCTAGACTAGTCAAGCTGCAGGGGCCCTACTGCTAGCCTGAAGGACAAAGAGCCCTATCCTTCTCTAAAGGTGATAGGATAGGGCAGAGGGTTCAGGGTCACTGCAAAGCCTAGGCACATACCCCTCGTAAAAACTTATCTGCCTGCCTATGTGAGCCCTAAGTCGCTGAAGGAAAGTAGACTGCCTTTTGTTGAGACTGCAACCCCAAATGCTCATTCAGCTCTGTCTCTGGTTGCCCACTGAGGCTGTTTTGCTAAGATGATGGTGTGTATACAAGCAGTGGCTTGCCCAGAAGTCAGGCCTCAGTCTCTCCAGTTAACCTCTTCCTGCCTTACTCTTTGCAATACAGTCAGTCACTCTAGAAAGCCACATAATCACTTTCTGTGAATAGAAGATCCAAGAGGCAGAGTTCTAGAAGTGGAGGCTGGATTCCCAGTCAGATCCTTCAATAATGGTGGTCTCCATCACCCTAGGAGCTAGTGCTAAGCTTGGGCCCAGCACACACAAATGCTATTCCCCGTCTTTCTTTCTACTTCAAAAGGAATCAAAGGAAAGTTCTTAAAGACAGGATCATGAAGCAAACAAATAAAGGGACCACAAAAAAGCATCCGTACCTCAAATACAGACATACAAAGCACTAATTCTAGAGGCTTCAAAACCCAAAGCAACTCCAAACCTGCTTCTGCAGCTTCTTGTTCTGTAGCACAGTGAGCTCTGCACCTGTGCCTGCCTTGTATGGGGTCAAGGGTACAATTAATGTGGGTGCTCATCTGTCTGCACCCTCCTCAGTTAGGAGAACTGGCGTGCACAAGGGTTTCTCTGTTATAACCTACCCACCGCTCCACCCAGGTTTGGGCTCAGTCTAAGATGACGGATAGGTTACTCTCAAGACCTCCAAACATTATTCTAGCTAAACAAGTCTGCTGAAGGCAGCACACCAGTCATATCTGGGCCCTCTACAACTGTCTGACAAGTTTTTTTCATCAAGAATCATGGGGGAAACAGCTACAAGGGGAACTTCTCCTAGTTTCTAGGTTCTTCATGCTGCAGCCAGTCCCAAGACCAAGATTTCTGAGGTTCATGGAGAAAGATAATTCTGTTCCTACTAATGACTTGTTCCTCCCGCTTCCACCAGTCAATGAAGCAATGTAAACCTGCCTGTTTCCACTTTTGGCCTGGCTGGTAATTAGCTCCAAGTAAAGTTTTATGCTATATCATTTTTCATTCACGAGTTTCTGATAGAACTTCCCCCCTTTTCTCCCTATACTTCTTGGTCTATATCTCTGGTTAACTTTATCTGTGCCCTGACAGTTTTTTTTTCCCTGATGTGGGTGAAACATAATCCAATAAAATGTGGGGAAGTGGCTAGTGACATGACTCAGCAGGTAAAGGTGCCTGCTGCCAAGTCTAATGACCTGAGTTCAATAGCCAGGACCCACACTGTAGAAGGAGAGAGTTGATTCGTACCACTTTGTCCTCTATCCTCCACACGTGCTCCTGTGTGTGCATGCTAAACAAATATAATAAAAACGTTTTTTAATGTAGGGAAGGTAGAACACAGCACTGTCCCTCAACTACCACCGTGAAAGTACACTTCCCCTGTGAAAGTGCCAGGATACCCAGCAGACCCTGCTCTCTTTAATATCTTCTTGTTGAGCCCTGTGTGCAATGGCTTGAATGTGCTCTGTCCCCACCAGAACTCATGTAATGAGTTTACTAGTTGCTCAATACCACAGTGTTAGAAGCTTGGACTTAGTGGGATGTGTTTGAGTAATGGGGGTGGAGTCTTCATAAACACACTGATGCCATCTTGTGGGAGTGGGTGGGTTCTTGCTCTATGGGACTAGGTTGGTTACTGTGAGAACAGGCTGTGATGAAACAAGGTCATCCCTGTTGTCTCTTCCACAGCGATGTTTGTCTTGTTTTCTGACATACTGTGATGCAGCATGAAGCTGGGCAGACGTAGCCACCTGATCTTGGGTATCCTACCTCTAGAACCCTGAACAGACATAGTGAGTTCCACGACAGCTGGGGCTACAGAGACCCTGTCTCAAAAAGACCGGGTGTGGCCAGTTGGGACATCAAGTGCAGAGAAACAAGAAGCTGGGTGTGGTGGCACATGCCTTTAATCCCAGCACTCCGGAGACAGAGTAAGGCGTATCTTTGTGCGTTCAAGGCCAGACATAGTTCCAAGACCAAAAAAAAAAAAAAAAAACCAAAAAATTTACTTTTTATTTTTATTTTATGTGTATGAGCATATTGCCTACATGTATGTGAGTGCACCCATATCGTGCAATTCCTGAAGAGGTCAGAAGAGGGTGTTGGATCCCCTAAAGCTAGATTAAGAATGGTTGGTAGTGTGGGTGTTGGGAATTGAACCCAGGTCCTCTGCAAGAGCAGCCAGTGCTCTTAACTGTTGAGCTATATCTCTCTAGCCCAGACCTCTTTTCTTTATACATTCCCCAATCTCAGGTATTCTCTTATAGCAACAGAAAACAAACTGAGACACTATGCCAGTCACTTTACGTACCTGTCATGATCCTCTGGGCTTCATAGGGTTCCATGTAGCCGGCACTCTCCCCCTTCCCTGGTTTGCTCTTGAGATCATTCTTGGCATCAAAGGGATCTGAGTAGTCATCAGCTATGGTCACCTGCAGAGAGAAAGAAGGTGGTGAGGCCATCTTTCGTTTTTGTTTCAGTTTTGTTCAAAACCAGGCATTGTTCCAGCAAACAAGTGTGCCTGGGCTAGCTCAGCAAGGAGGGAAGAAGTCGAAAGCATTAGCCCACCCCACGGGAGCTTCAGAGGGAGGGCAGGTCCCTGGGCTGTGCACACAGGCTTGGGGGAAGTGGGACTAGAAGGCATCTAACTCCACTGATCCTGGGTGGGGGTGCCCACAGCGTGCAGAGATGGGGGGACCTTGGAGAATCTGTAACTAGGTCTAATTGAACAGAACTTGAGCAAAAGTCTGGGCAGGACAGAAAGTCTAGAAATGCTGGCCTGCCCCAATGCTGGCTGAGACACAGAAGACTTCAGCCAGGGATAATTACACTCGGCAGTCCATTTTTCTTCAAATCTGGAACACAACCATTCCTTGGGTCACCACACAACAATTTGGTGAGATCAATGCACTGTAAAAGATGAGTGTGGGGGTTGGAGAGATGGCTCAATGGTTAACAGCACTAACTGCTCTTGCAGAGGACCGGGGTTCGATTTACAGTACCCACATGGCGGCTATGAACCATCCTTAACTCCAGTTCCAGGGGAATCCAAAGGCCTCTTCTGACCTCTGTGGCATTGCACAACACGGGTGCACTCACATACATGCAGGCAATACACTCATATACATAAAATAAAATAAATTTTATATATGGTGAGTGTGGCCCCAGACAGGCCAAATGAAAACACTAAGCTCAGAGGTGGACAGATACTAGGGTCACAAACAGGATGGAGGACCCTTCTTTGACACCTGGGTCAATGGAGTCCAGAGCCAGGGGCAGTGCCCTCAGACCCTCATTCACAGGGCCCATCCTGTGTCCTCACTCAGCAGTCAGCCAGAGCCCGCCCCACCCTCTCCTAGGGAAAAGTTTCACTAGCAACCAAGGAAGTGTGAGTCACCCAGGGCAGGTTGCAGGGGGAGGGGACTTTGAGAGAATGTGCATATCTGGAATTCTATGGGTTCAGAGATGGTCCCACATTTTTCCCAGTAGAAGGACCACAATTACCAACTGAAGGCTATTGGAGAACATAATAATGCCCCTCCCATTTCTAACTGCCTAGTCTTTATGAGGGGAGGATTCACCAGAGAGGAAAAGGCCAAGGTCACTATTGACTTGCCTCCTCCCAAATTCTGAGAGCCCTTCCTCCTCACCTTTCTAGCAAAGGGCAAGCCCTGTCTCCCAGCTGCTGCCCCAGGGATGGGGAAGGTTAGCATCCCCAACTTACTGAATTGTTATTTAAATTGTAGGTTTAATTAGAAACCACAGGAGTCTCTCTTCTCTCAGGGTTCCTGGAATGTAAGGCATTAGCAAGGCCCGCAAACCTCAAGGAAGGGGAAAGCTCCCACTGTCTGCCTGGTGAATGGCAGCTTGTAGCAGCAGCACTGGCAGGGGGCACAAGTGACCACCAGCCACCTGGAATGTGATGCCTGCCGCAGGCTGGTGAGCAACAGCTCTGTTCCTAGCTGGGGTTGGTCAGTAGTATAGTGAGGAGTGGTCCCTGGTCCCCAAACTGAAGCACATAGCCATCAGGAAAGACCTAGGCCTGGAGCCCCCAGCACTGAAGCTGAGAGCATCAATGGTACTGCCTCTGGATGAGGCCCAGGTCAGGCTCCAGGTCCCAGCAGGCTCTTCCAGATGCTGACACTGTAATCACTGCCTTTCAGGAGACTCAATGAGCTCAAATGACACTAGGCCAGGAAAGAAGGGGGAGGGGAAGGCTAGGCCTGCCTAAGTTTTTCATTTGATAGTTGTACTCTGCCATTTGCAGAACACATTAGAGAATTATATATGTGAAGCACTGTCAGCCAGAACAGTTCAGACGCCTGTCGTCTGGTGGGCAGAGCTTAGAGTTTGAGGGACCAGATGTCCAAATGGAGAAAATGATGTGGCTGCAGCAGATGACATCTAACTCCACTGCTCCTGCCCCAGACTTCTCACTGTCCTTTCCCAATGTGAAAATCTTCCTCTGGTCTGTGGTGAGAAGGGAATTTTGTTTCCCCAAGAAAACAAAATCGTTTTGGGGTTGTACAAGAGAACACAGGTGGGAAGGGGAGCCCGTCTCCAAGGTAATTTAGAAATCAGCATTCTGGCTCCTCTCAGAAGTGTTCTGTAATTCATGGAAGGTTGTAGTATATGAACCAAATTTTTGTTCACATTGGGATGGGAGCTGGGGGAGGCCTGAGATAAAGCAGGCGCTATCTATATTTTCTAATTAAAATGAGATCCGAGCTCAGGCTGTCATGGGCCCCCAGCTGCCTGCCCTGTGTACTTCTTTTTCAATAAGAATTTACAAATTCTAAAACTAGGGAAAAACCCTGGTCTCTGTTGACATATGGTTCCAGTTTTACCTGCTGACAGCTGAAAATCCTTCCGTTTAAAAAAAAAAAAAAGTTTAGAATTCTGTTAGTTTAAGAAGCAAATCGGGTTTCTAAAATGTATTTAATCAATTTGCTTTCGAACTTCAAAGTGAGGCTGGTAGAAGCAAGGGGTTCGAGCAACCTGAAACTTAGCAAACACTGCACTGAACTATCCAATCTTACGCAAATCACGTCTGAACCAGGAGTAAAAATTTAACCAGCCAGAACACGGAGCGAAGCACCACAGAGACTAGGACTGTCCTGGGCACCCAGGGCTCACTGTAAGTCAAGGGCAAGATATTTGCTTGAAAGCTACAGAGTACTCAAGGAAAGGGAGTGAGCTTTGGCAGATGTGGGCCTCCATTTCTGATGGGGTTGCTTTTGCTTTGCTTTAAAAACGTACCAGCGAGCAGACAAGTCCTGTAAATCTAACTGAACAATTCAACCACAAGGAAGCCAGTGAAGACAGAACTGCAGGCCAGGCCACCTGACCATACAAGATTTCTTTGACTGATTGGTAAAGACCTGCTAGTCCACGGGCTATCGTTTCTCCCCCATGTGGTGGAGAAGGGTGCTGGTAAGGACCAAGGCCACTAGTCCAACCTCCACCAAGAATCTTAGTTGCAGCGGCAGGTCAGGAACCCAGCCAGGGTCACCTCTTCTTGGCTCTCTTTCTCCTAGAATGGGAGATTTCAAAAGAAAACTAGACTCAGGTCAGCTCAAAGCCACTAAAGGACTTTCACAGGCTCATAAAGCATAAAGTCCTAGAGACCTGCTCCAGACTCCCTTACAGTCCAGAGGGCAGGGCCTTGTCAAGTCACCCAGGGCCTGATTCCCACCACAGAAATCTAGATTCCACCACACTACCATCTCCCCCTCAAGGCTCTCTGGGCTGCCTGAAGACTAGAAGCTGGCTCTACGTGCTACTCTGTAGTGCACATGCTGCTCAGTAGAACTCAGTCCCTTCTAGCAGTCTGAGACTTGGTGTGTTTATCTTAGGGATTAGCTGTGAGATCCGAAAAGGTCTTCAGGTCCATCTCCAAGGGAAATGCTAAGGAAGGTGGGCGTTACCACTTGGCCATCCTTCCATATGCCTGGGTAGGAGTTTCACTTGCTCTTCTAAGATGGTTCCCCCTGTATAGAGAACTGGGACTTTTCAGGGAAGATGTTTACATGGTTAAGACCACTCTGAATGGTAACTTCAATAGAACCAATGGAAATCCCCAAATGGATATAGCCTAACTCAGCAATTTCGCTTTTCAGTGTTTATTCATAATTGGGCACAAAGTGGGGCTGGAGAGATGGCTCAGCGGTTAAGAGCACTGACTGCTCTTGCAGAGGACCTGGGTTTGATTCCCAGTACCCACATGGCAGCAACAAACCGTCCCTTAACTCCAGTTCCAGAGGAATCCGAAGCCCTCTTCTGACCTCTGAAGCACTGCACAACACTAGTGCACTTACATACATACATGCAGGCAATACACATAAAATAAAAATAAATGAAATCTTAAAAAATAAAAATAAAGCCGGGCATGGTGGCGCACGCCTTTAATCCCAGCACTCGGGAGGCAGAGGCAAGTGGATCTCTGTGAGTTCAAGGCCAGCCTGGTCTACATAGTGAGTTCCAAGACAGCTGGGGCTACAGGGAGACCCTGTCTCAAAAAGACCAAAAAATAAAAATAAAATTTTTTTTAAAACTTGGGCACAAAATAACACGCAAAAAGATGCTCACTGAAATAATGAGAAATTCACATACTATACTCACCAACAGGGGAAGTGCTAAGTAAATGGTCTAATTCCATGTAGTAGAATATTATCCAGTAAGTTAAAAGGGGGGGGGCATTTGTTCTACATGTGCTAACAAAATTCTCCACAAGTTACTGAATGGAAAGACACCACATGAAAGGGTGATAAATACAGCACACCTACTTATGAAGAGCAGAGCAGAAACCTCTATCAATGATCTGGAGAGAAGGTCAGTACACAGCTATTCCCTAAACTGACTGGTAGGGGAAGGGGGAGGATCAAAGAGACTTTAATGTTAAAAACGTTTGCAAACAAGAAGAACCTATTCCTGTACACGATGTAAAACTAAACTTGTTGCAAAGCACTCTTCTTCCACAGGTTATTTTTGGTACAGTCGACAGACTGCTTCCCAAACTTGCCTGCAGACAGGAATGGCCTGGAATGATTGTTAAGACAACAGACTCCTAGCCTCAATAATCTGTGTATTTAACAAGCAACCCCAGTGATTCTTATCAGGAATCAACAAGCTAGTGCCAGCCCTCTGCCACCAGTCTAAGGCAAGCCTCCAGTCACTATTCTGGAATTTCACTTTTCCCAGCTATTGCTCAGCCTTGCTCACTGAAGTTAAGCAAGTGTAATTTTCCCCCTTTCTTCCCCAGGGGTCAGTGGGAGTGAGAGCTGACCTAACATGCCTTGGTCCATCATCTGAGAATCTATCTCAGAGGGCAGGGGAGCCTCTGCAATCCTGACTCCTGGCTCCAGATTAAGCAACATGGCCCTGTGCAGGACTAGAGCGTTCCCCAGGCAAGCTCCCTGCCCGGCCAAGAGTT